CTTCTCTCATTTTTGCTCCTCTCATCTCTTCTCCTCTCATCTTTTCTCCTCTTCTCTCCTTTCATTTTCTCTCCTCTTGTCTCTTCGGCTGTCCTTTCCTCTCATATCTTCTCCTCTCCATACATTTCTTCACCTCCGATCTCTTCTTCTCTCCTCTCCTCTTCTCCTACTTTTTCTCTCCTCTCCCAGAAGTGCTAGTCTCTAAACTTCTTCATTCAGCCCTTCAGAGTACTTGTCCTCTTGATCCTGTGCACTCACACCTTCTACAATATTCATCACATCAGCTCTTATCCTCATCATTAACACAGCCCTCACCACAGGCATCTTTCCAGGGGCATTCAAAGAAGCTTGAGTAACCCCTCCACTCAAAAAGATTTTCTCTCAACACATCACTGGTAAAAAGCTACAGACTTGTCTCTCTTCAACCAATCATTGCACAAATATTAAAATGGGTCATCTTTAACCAGTCTTTCCTTGCATAAAATCAGGAATAAAGAGAGGACATTTAATCGAGATGGCTTTGCTCTACGTGATGGAGTCATTAAGATTCGGCAGAGAAGACTCTGAATCATCTGTTATTAACACTATACTGCCTTTGACATGGTCAGACCTCTACATATTATAAAAAAATCTTGTTATTATAACTCAAGCGAGCCCATGTCACTTATCTCTTTTTCACCCTCCACTGTTTCGCCTTTGCAGCTCATTTTAAGTTTAACCCTTAGAAGTCTCTGTATGCACCAGTGTGTTAGCAATCATAGCGGAACTTTCATATTATTTTAACTTTGTCTTCCTTTTTAGTGGGATTTATGAATTTTAACTTGAAAAATACACTCCATGTTACAGGTCTTGTACTTGTCCTGGTTATCCCTTACAACTAGATAAAGGAAAAGACAGTTACGGTAGGGCATTTTCTTACATTTTAATTTAAATTACCTCGCAAATTATGAGTCATTACTCTTGTAATGTTCATTTAAAACACAAAATAACAAACTATTAAGCTTTTTGAAACCTGTACATTACATTTGAAATCAAAATTAAACCACAGGTGGATTTTATCATTGATAAACTGTAAAACTGGTGTGTGTACATACTTCTAAGGGTCAAGGGTTCTTAAGGTGCAACCCACAACTTCAGCAGTACAAACCGGGTGTAGCAACACTAGACTAGGACATTCCATTAAAGCACACAGATAACTGCTTAAAGAGTGCACATAAACAAAGATATTTGGGACAAACTGCCAGAAACTGCCTCAGGGAAGCTCATCAGCATGCTCGTCATTTTCACCAGTATCTCAGCCTGACTGCAGCTATGACTTGTGTGGGCAAAAGCTTCCATTCAATGGCATTAGTCAACTTGAAGAGGTGCTGTTTCATGGATGCATCCTGGGATTGTCAATGCTGTGAATCAAATGGCCCATGGAAGTTATGTTATAGACAACAAACAAAGTGTAAGAGATGGCATTTTGAATGCACAGAAAATTTTCAGTTCATGAGGCCTTCTGTTGCAGTGGTACACAAATAACCAACTCATATTGTAGCATGGGTAATCCCAGTATCATTCCTAAAGGAAGTATCCCATTTCATACCTGGCCAGCACAATTACTTCCATGGACATTAAAAACTCAAAACTCAAGATTAATGCAATTTTAATTTAACTGGGTGTCAAGAGTTATGTGATATTTTGAAATAACATTTCCAGATAACCAACTATTAAAAAGGGTTCCATGCTATTTAAACAACCTATAGTTGTTTTAATGCTTTTAGCTTTCCTCGCTAATACTAATAAAGCTTACAATAGTTACAACTCAAACATATACAAAAAAAAAAATAAATAAATAAAGCTAAATCCTTTGAAACACACTAAATGTGATGACTAACTGTGATGTCTAATGTTTAATTTTTGTTTTTTGTCAAGACTTATGCACTCAAGTCAAGATTTCTCTACACCTGTAAAAAGGGACCAGAAGAGAAACATCTGAGTAGATAACAACTTTTAACCTTGACAGGTAAAGCATTTATTATTATTATTTGTGAAGCATATTTTAATTCAAACGTTTAGTTCAAAAAATTTAATTAATTACACACTATAAGATGACGCATCCACAATCCAAATGCCCGAACTCTTTGATGCTTTGCCGATGTTCATTCCTTTTTATCTTGTGGTGCAAAAAGATTTTACCCATAGAAGGTGTTTTCAGTGTTCAGAATGCTCATTTTTGGCTCTGAGAACTGACCTCAATGCCTTCACAAGTTTTGACCGCAAGGGAGGGCACAGTTGCATAAGGACGAAAGGGGTTGGTTGGCTGATCAGAAATAATGATCTGAAAGGAACTGTGAGTCAGAGCACTTTTCTTTACCCAAACAGGTCACACTTGGTTGAACACATTTACATGCCACAGAATCCTGTAAGACCAAGCTCCTCTGTTGAGGCAAATCCCAGCAAAAACGATGTTTCTGAAGGCAAAGCACCTCGAGGATAAAACAAACCTTAAACTTGTAGTTCCAAGTAACTCATCTGTAGCCAAGGGGGATATGGAAATGGGAAAACGATTTTATAAATGTAAGCAAATACACAGGAGATTCCGAGAGATGTAAACAGCCAGATGCTATAGAGTAAAGATCTTATCTAGCTACACAAGGTAAATTAAATTATTGTTGAGATTTATTATTTGCAGCCGTAGAGCTGGTTAATCTTCAAGAAATGAACATGTTACAGTATCTGCATAGCAATAAATAAATATTTTTATTGTTTTGCCACTAATACTCCACACGAGCTGACAAGTACGCGAACGTCTCTCCTTCACGAAGCTTTTGCGCTATACACATTGCATTCAACTTCGTAGAGCAAATTCAGTACAACTGCGAAAGAAAACTGCACATGAACTATTCACCCATTTCACGCGGCAACCATTTTAAAAACGAAAGAGATGCTCCAGTGAAAAGAAACTCAGTAAAAATGTAACAACATGATGTAGGAATATAGAAAGTAATGTTAAATATATCACATTATTTGAGGTAGAATTCAATAAAACAACCCACGGATTCAACATTTATTTTAATATCCAGTAGTTCCAGGAATGTCATCAATGCCATGGTAGTCTAATTCCGTTTCTTCCCACCGGAGCCTCACTTTTGTTGTTAAAATGGCAGCCGTGTGAAAGGTGAAATGATGTCTAGATTATCACCCAAATACATATAAACTACAGATAACTATGCAAATGTTATTCAAATACCCAAATACATGAGTTTATAATAATAGTACTGGAACATACGCAACAATGATGCTCTGAACACAAAACTACACAGCTGACTTAAAGTGAAATTAATCACACATGTTACACGTGTCTCCTTAAATACTGTCTCCCTTTGACGTTCATGACTATTTTAATTTCATCACCCAACTCACACTGAGCTTCACTTCGCCAAGGCTTACTTGCCAATTGGAGTAATGTGGTTAGTACTGGGGTGTTTGCTGCTGATGAAGCATGTGATCTCAAAAATATATTTTTTTTTTTCTCGTTTAGGTAGTTTTAGAAATGACTGTCTGCAGATTGCATAGTTATCACCGAATGATGAGTTTTCCAATAACAATACAATCTCTGAAAGATGATAAAGCTTGGAAGAAATATTCACAAGTCAGTGAAACAAACATGTTGAGTCTGCGTATTAAAATAATGTCGTTTCTGGTATACTTTTAACCCTCCAAATTACAGACATGGTCAATTATTTTAAATAGAATAGAATTAAATCAATAAATAAAAACATCATTTAAAAAATAGAACCAAATGAATAAGAATGTGTTAAAAGTGCGGTATGCAATCTTTTGGGAGATTTGGGATCTTTGAAATCAGGAAGCAAACACACTTTTCCATTGGCTTCAGGGTCGCATCAGAGGGAGGGTTTTATAATAGCCATCAGAGTATTTTCAAGCCACCCCGTACATGACGTAATATAGAGTGAGAACAGGAAATATCCAGAAAACAACAATGGATCCCGAATGCAGCGAAGGAGTGTTGTGTTTTACCAGGATGAGTTATTTTGTGTGACTGGAACAAACTCAGCGTTTGTGTGTGTAGTTTGCACAGTTCACTGATGCTTGCTCGCCCAATCAAATCAATGGTGTCAGTTCAGAGCAATGGTGTCAATTCTAGAACCTTGTCGAAGGGAGTTCCAGCATTGGTGTCTGGTCACACGTCCACAACGCAGTAGAAAAGCTGTTAAACTCATCTGTACTGTGTCATGCACTGGAAAAGCGCCTTTAGATAAGGGTGAGTGAAAGACCAGAGTATATTGATGAAAAAGTAAGTATATACCATTTTGTGACACAAAACAACCTCTCCGTTCGATTACTAGCTGTTCTTGCATCCTTAATTAACTCCAAACGCTGAAAAGCCAATCCGAAGGTTACCTGCGTTCGACTTCACTTTGGGTTGTTGTTTTACAATTTACCCTGGTGTTATCAATAATTGGTAGTAATCCCAATTTGATGCTCCCCCTTCTCCGCTTCACGAATAAACATGTCCCTTACCGCTGATTGTCTACCATGTCTGTTTTCCAGCCACAGATTCCCAAGCTTTTTTTTAAAAAATTGCTTAGTAATTAACCTAATAACTAAAAGTCAAATCCCAAGTTTGCTTTGTCAAAGGCTTTGAGAATTACAAACATAGATACATACATGTCACTGACACTGTAACTCTGCAAGTGATCATGGGGGAACCTGCTGCATCGTCAAAAGCTGGAATAATACTGATAAATCCTGAATAATACAGACCTACAGTAACACAATGGCACTGCTTTTTGTAACAGTTACATGAAAACAACCACGATACATAAAAACACGCCCCTCCCTGGCTAAAGGTATGGCTACGATTTGGAAGTTCACTATTTTATATTCAAATGCATTACACTTTTAATTTTACATGAACACTGATGCGTTTGGCAGACGGTTTTATTCAAAACAACTTACATTTCAAGGACTTAAAACATTTTGTCAGTGCTTGCTTTCATTCGGGTTTGAACCCACAACCTTTTGTGTTGCAAATGCAATGCTCTACTGACTGAGCCACAGGCAAGCTTACAGGAAAAAGCATTTAGGTATTATTTTCTAGTATAATAACAACCTTTAAGGTTCAAAACACCATTTTATCAAGAAAAATTTGCTCATTTTCATCCCAAAAAGCATGTATGGCACTTTGAAGGTTTTGCGTCTGAACGTTTCATATGCTCCAGGAAGGCTCCGAATTGATTAAAACAAAATGAAAATGATGTTGAAGCTATTTTGGATACACCACAGTCTGGCTGTGTGGCTCAGTGACCTGGAACAGTCAGAAAACGCTAAAGGTGTCAAACTTGTTTTGATATCTTCATATTACTGTTTTTTTTTTTTCAAAATTTGTTTTTTCAAATTCCGCTATATGAAACCATTTCAAAAACCAAATAAAGCACATCATATTTGCCATGAATGCACTTAAAGGTTTGTGTTTATCGCTAAGATCTAGTCAAATGTATGCAGAGACTTGAAAAAGAAAAACTTGCAAAGACCACGGCAAGTGCATTAAAATCAATGTCAAAAGGTAAAAGAACCAAGTATCATCAGGCTCTTTGAACGTGAAAACGCTGCCCTTGGCAAACTCACCCAATGACGTGTGGGTGCTCGGTGGTGAGAAGGGCGAGGGGTGGCTTGTCTCTCTCAATGAGCCACACAGTGTATCTGCCACTCTGCCTGGGGTGTAAAAACACAGTGACATCCAGAGCACACGGACGACGGGGGGCCCACAGCCACTGGCTCAGTACCCAGGGTCCTGTCATAGCTGAGCTGTTCACTGTGAGAAAGCGCCCTGCGGAACACAGACAACAACAGTGAATTATAAGTGTTTTTTTTTCTTTTCAAAGAAAGAAGTCGTGTTGGAATTTGAAGACTTTCACAATCTGTTATTTGCTGGATTCACATAAAAAAATAAAAATCGGCTTTTCCATTGCTTGCCTCCAGTAACTGGTGAATTATTCGCTAGTGGGTGGTCCCACATTTCAGGTTGCTTAGCATACACAAGCTTTGGCATTTACAAGAAACCTATTTCCTTTTTGGGGTCACGGGGGTCTGCCGGTGCCTATCTCCAGCGCACATTGGGCAAGAGGTGGGGATACACCCTGGAAAGGTTGCCAGTCCATCGCAGGGTAACATTCACACACACATTCACACATAAGGGGAATTAAGATTATTAAATTAACCTAAACGCTTGTTTTTGGGAATGTGGGGGAACCGGAGTGCCCGGAGGAAACCCGCACAAGCACAGGGAGAACATAAACTCGAACCAACAATCTTCTAACTCGAAGGCCACAGTGCTACCCACTGTGACACCGTGTCTGTTTATCTGAATAAGATTTTGCCTATAGTCACCAGATAAGCCACACACTCACCAATGCATCTGTAAAATCATACTACTATTTTCTTTTTCCTTCAAAGAACTGGCTTTATAAAGTATGAATAATGTCTTTAAGAATTATCTTTGAGCATTTTTTACTACTTTACAATTTGATCTAACAAATGATCTTTAAAACCATTTTTTGACAATGCTTCACACAAATCCAGCTTAGTTTTTTTTTTTTTTTTTTTTTTTTTTTTTTTTTTTTTTTTTTTTTTT